TTGAGCTTGTTCCGGGGGCAGATGCTAAAGAATGCGATGGGTATGAAGAAGCTTTACTTAACGAATTGGCGCGCCGTGAATTTACGGTACCTATTTGCTATTTTACTTAATTTCATAATTGTACGTAGTAGCTGTTTCTTCATTACTGTTTTCTGGAAGAAAGCGATATATCAGGTACAAAAATGACATTCATTTCTGTCGGTACGGTTTATTTCAGGTTTTTGTACTCTCAGAAGCCGGCAAACCCATTTTTGCTAGTTGTGGTAGTGAGGAACAGTTATGTTCATTAGCAGCACTAATTCAAACTTTTGTAATGGTCGTAGGATCATGGGCAGATTCTCTAATTCGATTTCGTTCCCTAAAAACTCATATCTGTTTTTCATACAGAAGTCCATTGATATTGGCGATTGTGTCACGAACTCCTTTTAACTTGGAGTCCCAGCTTGATATTCTTTATAAGCAGGTGTTCGCGGATCTTGTAAAAATCACTTTTCAAGAATCACATGTTACGCTGTTAAAGATATCAAATTTCTATCGTTTTTCTTTTTCGTGGGACAGTAACAGTTGGCAGATTTAAAATAGTTTCTAACTTTATATGTAAATATTTTCAGGTTTTATCTACTTTGTGCCGTAAGCAGCTAGTTGGGGTTTTTCAGAAGAAGGGCCCGAATTTTGACTTGCGACTTTTTTTAAAAGGTTCGGATTATATGCCTTCCATTGTTTCTTCTTGTTTCCTTGCATCTCAGTAACTTGCAGATTCGGACCGCCACTTTAATGAAATTGTTTATGCATATCGTGCCGATCCTTGCCTCTTTCTTAGAAGTGTCAGAGTATTCCCTTTAGCGAGTTCTGAAAGGGATTTTATAACAAATGCAATTATTTCCGCTGTTAACAGTGAAAAAGTAATTTCATTTTACTTGAATGGGATTTTCTTTTTTTCAGTCTGATTCTGGCTTATTTAATTTAAAAAGGTTATTTGTATTGTATGCAACTGTTTCCCTGTTTTAAATGGATTTAGGCAGACCATTTAATCATGGGCCTTGTTGTTGCTCATCGCCAATTGGTCACAGTGGTACGGTTAAAAGGACTCGCGCTCCATCCGTTCGATTTGCACATTTTATTAAACCTTGTAGAATGTAATCCATCATTTCGTCACGCCGAAAACTGGGTTCCTATATGCCTACCTCATTTCGACGAATCGTCAGCATTTATATGAATGTTTAATTGTCGTATCGCTGTTTCATTCCAACATAATGATTCCAGAAGCTCAGCTTGTAGTGAAATCTTTTTTAGGGGTTTTGTGCACGCGTTCCTGGCTTATATATGGCCTGGTAGTGCTGCCTGCCTTATACTTCTCTCAGTAGAAAGATCAGCGTTTGACGTCTTGCGAGATGTGTATCAGTCGATAACAGCTCGATTAATGTCTCGCCCGTCGTTACAGCCGGCATTCGATAATCCTCCAACATTCGAACTGAATTTGGTAATACACTTAACCAATGTATTCTCACCTTGTTTTTGATTTTGTGTTACTTTAGGCAAATTTTCCTGATGTCTGGCACTTTATTTATAAGAACAGAACATCAAGCCAGTTATGCAGCTCTGAGTTTCGAATCCCTTACGTGAACGAGGAAGAGCGGAGACGTTTGTTAAACCATTATAAACAGACTGTTAGCTTCTGTATGCAGTCACCGTCTGTTAAACATCTCTTTGTTTATCGATCAGACAACAGTTTAGTGTTAACTGTAAGCGTTATTGTAACTCCTAGTTGAATACTTTTTTGTATTTCTTCCCTACTGATATCACATTTTAGACAACGGCTAATTACGAGTTGCATTGTGTAATGAGCCCGTTTGTTTCGATGTCTTCAGCCGTTTCACAAATTGACCGCTTGTTGAGAGCCCTGAGGAAAGAAGAGTCGCGTTTTTTTATCACCTCATCTTCTTTCTTTTGAAATCTTGTTTTTTTTAGTTTGCCTTTTCGCAAACTGTGCATAATAACAAGATGTGCCGTCAATTTATAAGTACGTAGATTTTGGTGCTTTTTGATTGGTAACTTGAGATTTACATATTCAACGTTGTAGTTGTAAGATTTTAGTATTCCTGGACTACCGGTAAATGAGGCTGAGCGGAGATACTAGAAGTGTGATCCTTTCAATTTCTTCTTTTTCTTGTAATGCCATAAACTGGTTCATGAGTGTATTCTTGTCTGTAAGTTCTCGACCAACTGGGTACATTTACTTAAATAAATTTTTACTCAGACAGAATGGCGCTTATTTCAAAAACAGACCTTGAAATGTCGCTTTTAAGTGGAGGCCTGAGTCAAAATCACGGCTACTCTTAATCAGTGTAGAGGTCTTTTAAAATGCTTTTTTCTACAGGTCTGTTCGTAACAAAAAACCGTAGTTGGCGGGATGCAGTTCAACAGCAATGAGGCCCAGCAGCTACGAAATGCGTAGTAATGACGTAAATATAGCGAAAGGTAGAGATCTAGGAGTGGTTAACTCTTCTTTTCATTAACAGGGATGGAGAAAGCTTCGATTGCCCTCCTCACAACTGAATAGTTTGACAAAGACTTTTCTATTGCTGAAGGTACCGCTTTCATTAGAATTGAAGGTTCTATTATCCCCTGGTGCTCACAACACACCATTTGATTTAATGACGGCAAGACAGCAACAGTAAGTGAGGAGTACTCATCGCCTGGCGCCAATTTACTTCCGAGTAACTCTCCTTCAGCAGAGACCTAAAATTAATATGACCTAGAAGACTGTTAATTACACCAGTCAATTCAATGCCAACGCTAAATATCTCTGTTGCAAATTCTTAGGAGCACTAGGAGCTTAGGAGCATGTGTTACTTTGAAAAAAAAGTACCCAGAAATGAGACGCTAAACAAATATCGTATGTTTCGATCCCTGCATTACACAAAGCGACGGAAGATGCCATTAGCGCAGCAGCTAAACTTGTAGCACTGTCTTCTAGTATGATGACATCCAGATTAATTTGTGCCTTAAAGTAATCACAGGAATTATTTTGGTTGGCGAGGAAGCAAAATATTATTGTGACAAGCCAAAAGATAAGCAAACTGTCCGCTTCTTCCTGAGATAAATACAAGAATCCTAAGTGGACGAGGAGAAGCACCTTTGGAAACCTATCAAGACGTACAAACGAACACAGAGCCGATTCAAGTACCTGACTAAGATTCGAACTTCCTATTACCTCCACCTAAATTCAAGGAGAGATGGGTAAATATATCTGCACAGCAGTTAACAACATAAATTATTAAGTGCCAAAAAACTCTGAATTCAGCTAAGTATACTAATTTGCAAACAAAAACTAGGATATCCAACGGAGTAGCCAACGGTTCTGTCCTATTATCACGTATCAAATGACTCATAGCACTGAACACTTACCTTGACCATCCCCTCTTCATCGTCAACCCCGCCTGACCTGTCAGGTTCCACTGGCCCATCTCTAAAGCAAACCTCTACAGTTAGTGATAACCAGGCTCCAGAAATATAATATCAAACTATCTCTTCACCCTAGCAAATTCTATTCTAATTATAATCTTGTACACCTAGAGTATCGAATGACAGAATTATAAGCTAGTGAAACTTACACGACACACACTAACTTAGTACCGCATAATTCAACGTACGCCGACCCTTTCTTTGCTTCAAAAACGCCAGCGCGCACAACTGTAAACCCAAAAATCAACTCCTGTAGGAGCTTCAACTGGCTCATTAAAAATTGAAAACAGTAGCAATGAAATCCCAAAAGTTTACACAACGCTTTAAAACTGGATGGAATTGACGAATCCTGTCGTCCCAATGAACTTCCCTCTCTTGACAACAAGGCGCTCAACGCCACTGGATTCAATGATGACAACCTCATTATCAGGTATTATCAATCATGTACCATGGGACGTTGCTGTATATACCGGGATACGAGGCCTATATCTGGAAGGAAGACTAATGCTCACCAAAAAAGTCTTCAGAAAAATAGTTAAGAAACTTGCTTATTCAAGCAAAAATTCAAGAAAGTTACGACAAAGTCACTGCCAGACAGCCATTAGCACACAACAATTTATTGCATGAGCAGTTAATTTAATTACAATAATTCGTAAAAAACTATAGAAGTACCTTCACATCTATAAAAACTGTGAATTCTACAAGCATAATTCGATATATATATATATATATATATATATATATATATA